AACCTCACTTCTTCACTTGCATCTGAAGAAGTGAGGTTCTTACCCACGAAAGCTTATGCTCCCAATACTTCTGTTAGTCTTAAAGGTGCCACAGGACCCTCTAGTTGAAGGTGGCCTCAGCAAACTATGCACTATAGATAGAACAAAATTATTCTTCTGGGGAAAGCACTCCTATTCAGCACAGCTGTAGAATGCCTCAAATATTCTTAGTTCCCCCTACAAATCAAAGTGTGATTCCTGTGATGTAAATAATCCACTGAATTTGCTCTTAGTCACTAATGTCTTGAGTCAGTCAGGAAAATAACCCTGCTATTAGCTTTTCACTCTTCAAGGGAGTCCACAACTCCTCACTACATACACTTGGTTTTTATTATCTAGATTACAAACATTGAGACATTTAATATTTCAACATTAGAGTATAACTTACCTTCTGTGTCTCAGGATCTATTAACCAGTTCCAAGCACCAGTTGCTGTGCAGACTGATACCACTATAAGAATCACTGATAAAAAATAAGAGTCATAAGCAACACATCTGGTTCATATTCATTAGAAAGTATTTAATTTCTCATGAAAAGCTTTGAAAGAGATTACATTCTATTTTATTTCCCCTCTTCATTCTTGATTATTAAGAATGTCCAAAGAAGAGCAAGATTTATTTGAAGATGTCTACCTGCATATCATGTTTGTTTCTCATCTGGACTCCCACCTTTCTATTTATGCAGTCAAAGTGGAAGGAGGTAAAAAAATGTTTTACCATTTAAAACAATGCAACCCTTCGAAGATTCTATCGGCCTCCTAGAGAGGACAAAAAGGTAGTACCAGATAGTGTTTTGATAAGTAAAGACATGCTGTAGTTTGGGGGGTGGACAGTATGAGAAGTTTCTACTAGAGACACGGATTTAGAAACATTAGTCAGAAAATTGAGGGAAAGTAGTACAGAATAACTTTCTTGAGCAATATGCTAAAAACCCACACAGTATTCTGCATGTAACTTCCAAGAGCCAATAACACTAAGGTGGCAGTCCTGCAAGCTGCTTTGCAAGGAGGCAGGCAGCCTTGCCAACTCTTTCAATTTCATTGCAAGTGTAGCAATATCAGGTATTTTTCTTAAAGCTCCAGCTCTGGGAGGCAAGTGATTATTTGAGAATCTCAGCTTTTATTAAAAAAGTTTTATTTCTAGCCCTCCACTCATAGTTGTGGATAAAAGCCAGAAAGATGTGAACAGTGCACATTCTAAAGGTTCAAACCTCATTGCTTGTAAAGCAGATTCGTGATGTCTTGATTTTGGGTGCTGATAATACTGATAAAATAAAAATGGACCATTTAGGGGCTGGAATTGACACATTCGAAGGAGAATGAAAGAAGTTTATATGCCATATAAAATGAAAGTTATTACTCCAATTTCACACAGAAAGATAGTAAAGATCTACCTATATCAATACTAGTTTCCCAGGAATAAAGTAGTTATTATGCAGATAACAGAATTATGAAGTCACTAGATGCCACATCCAATTTTTATTTAAAACTTCTTCATGAGTGCGCTTTAAGTCAGTAAAACTTTAGCCTGCATTTAGATATATTTGAACAAGTTTGGAAGAGATTGCCAACAATTGGAAAGTGAACACACTCATTAAAAAAATAAACTATAGAACCAGTAAACTTAATACATTGATTTTGCGGGGAAACCTTGGAAAATATACTAAGGAATAGGAGAAAGCCATCGAAACAAATTGTTTTAAGTTATCATGGTGAAAAATAGCCCAATTTGTAAACCAAACCCCTATATACAGCCACAAAATACATACACGACTGAAAAAAGGTAGTGCAGACTTAGACTATGCCTACACTAGAGAGCTTACAGTGGCAGAGCTGTACCTATGCAGCTGCGCTCCTATAAGATCTCTCATGTAGCCACTCTATGCTGACGGAAGAGAGTCCTCCTGTTAACATAATTAAACCACCTCCAAAGAGAAGCGGCAGCTATGTTGGTGGGAGCTCTCCTGCTGACATAGCACATGCATACTACCACTTAAGCCAGTGACACTTATGTCACTCACCGGAGGGGGCACTCCTGAGCAACATACGTTTTGCTGATGTAAGTGGTAGTGTAGACATGACCTTCATCACAAAGCCTCAATATGCCTCGAACTTGTCCTGAAGAATTCCTTTTAAAAAGACTAATTCAGTCCTGGCCCTCTTTGCTGAGGCTGCCTATAAGATCATCATTATACTGATTATACTTCTAGCTTTGTTGTTCTTGGCAATATCTACTTTTGAATAGCAATTGTGCAAATGCTATAAGCATTTTGTGCACATGGTATAGATGCAATAACATAAATCCATTATTTTACTTTTGCTGTTTTTTGGTAAATTTGTGTATGTGTGGTATCTTCACATATTTAAAAGATTTTTAGGCTCACATACAAAGTACGTACAATAAGATTTTTAATGCATAGATTTGTTTTTGTAAACACAATCCATAGGAATATACATGGGTAAATGCCAACTGAAGTATTAAAGAGTCAATCCAACTTCTCCTTTAAAATATTAAGCTTACTTCTCCAACGTCCTGTAGCTGGTTGCAAACATGCAATATATTCAGTAAGTCTTCTTTCAAAAGCCTTGAGATCTGAGGAAAAGACAGACAGAGATCTAATAAGTCTTGGTCTATTACTTGAACTTTAATAGTTAATGCCTCAGATTCTGTTCTGTTACTTATGCCCTGTGCAGCTCAGACTCATAACTTGCAGAGGAAAGCTGTAATGGATTGATGATGTAATTATCAAAAATCACTTGCATCTCAGATTAAGCAATAGTTATTGGAAAGATGCTTAGCACTACATCTCAGCACATTAGCTTTAGAATTTACCACCACTTCTTGGTTAAGCCCCTCACTAAAAAGTAATATATTAAGTGACAGGCATTTCCATATAGAGAAATATATACTGAAGAGATTAGAATACCTTGACATGGTATCTCTTTGTAAGTCTAATTGCAAGCCATTAATATTAATAGATTAAAATACTCTAAAACAAGGTATATTTTGAAATGTAAAATGTGTCAGGAAAACTTTGTTATACTCTATGGTCTGTGCTAATGATAGGTAGAGTTTGGTATTTTGTTTGTGATTGGAATACTATCACCATAACTCACTACAAAAATTCTTACCTCAGTTGGCATCATGTGAGATTTTTACAGTCCTTTCAGTTTCAATAATTTATTTTTTTTACATGCCACTCATCTTGGACAATGAAAATACAGTCAAATTATTTAAGTTTTAGCCAACTTTAGAATCTGACTCATGAAATAGACCGTTTGGCTTTGCAACATTACAAGGGAACTATTTAACATGAAGAGAAGCCTACTTTATAAATATTTTCAGATTAAAAAAAAAAAGTCAGCTATTCATTTTAACGTCTGTGAAGATTTCCTTTTCAACCAGAGAAGTTTTGGGCCTAAAACTGTCCCACTAATTTATCATTTGAAGTTTGATTTTTTTATTAATAAAGGTATATACTTTAAAGGCAAACTGGCTTCAAGTAACAACTACTGTTCTTTGAAAGAATTTCATGTTATATTAGAATGTCACGTTCTAATAAAGGTAACAATGCAAAAACTACAACAAAAATACCTTCATTAAAATGTATGCCTGTTACTGAAGTGTGTACTTACTAAGATATATGCAGAGATTATTTCAATGTTTATCAACTGGAAAAAAATATAACTACCAGTACTTTGTTAACCGATAGAAAACATTTGTAAATTAAATATGATTTTCAGTGTTTTAAATAAAGTGTATATAAAAAAATAAAGGCTTGAACTACATTTTATAAGTCTTGGAAGCCCAAATTGTTAAGGACCTCTTTCAAAAAAAGGATGGGTTTGGTGTTTTAAACATTTGTGTTTACCAGTTCTAACCAAAGAGATAATTCTGATATTTACAGTGTTACAATAAGCGTTGACAGTCACTTCAGTATTCCTATAATTTCTAATATTTCTGCTAATGTATCTACATCTTGTTTGTTCTATATATGACATTTACTAATCTAATCTTGAAGTACTGGTGCCTTATTAAAATATTCTCCTGTATTGATTTTTTTGCAGAAAGAAAGCAGTTTTAAGTTCCTTTTTAATATCCTTTACTACAAATCTGCACCAAAACCTAAAACAAGGATCTGTTTTAGCAAATAAGAATGTGAAGCTCAGTGAGCTGTATTTTTCCTGAAGAAAAGAATTCCTTGGTTAGATTAATACATCTCAATGTATTTGAGATATAGAATTTGCAATTAAAGAATTACAGCTGTGTTGACTATATAGCTTACATTAAAAAAGAAAAGGAATTAGTGAATACTGGAGATCTTTTAGTCTGTCCCCGGTGGAGAAAGCCGATGCACGCACTCTCGTTCAAATAACTTGGCTCAGTTAAAAGGTAGAACTTTGCCCTTTTACAACCGAATCCACTTTCTATATCGTTATACCAAGCGCCGCTTGCAGAGCAGCAACATGCCCCTCCTCCATCAATAAGCGAGCAAACAAAACACTAAACCACCCCCCGGACTGCTCGACTCACGGCTCCTCGCCTTTGAACCATCCCCCCAGTGCGTGAGGCTGGGGGCGCCAGGGCCCTTGTCCTGGGGCAGGTTTGCACAGCGCACCTCTGCCCCTACAGAAAACCGTGACTCCCAGGTGAGGGGCGCCCCTCACTCCCGTTCCACGCCCCTCACACCCTTCGCTGGCTCCCGCTGTCACTGGGCCACACCGCGGAGAACGTCCCTCCCCACTCTGGGACTAAGGGGGGGGGGTGGCCTCGCAGCCCCCCAGCTGCTATTGGCCAGCTCCGCGCTCCCGGGCAGCGCCCTTTGACGCCTCCAGCTGACGGGGCCGGGGTCAGAGCTCCCGGGTCGTGGGGCAGAGGCAGGAGACCGCTCTGGGGCGCGGGACCCGCACAGATAGACTCCCCCCGCGGCCTGCCCCCGGGAAAGGGTCACTGGGCCCGGCGGGGCGGGGACCCCAGTTACCTTCTGCCTGCTCCAGCGAATTCATGGCGGGTGGGGGAGGGCGGTCAGAACGCACGGCCGCCCCCTCCTCAGCGCCTCGAACCCGGTCGCATCGCAGCCCAGAGAGCCGGCTCCTAGTCCCACCCTCCGCCCCTTCCGCAGTCCCCCGCCCCCCACAACAACGCCGCACTCCATTGGGCATCCCTTCCACACCGCACCCCTCCCTAGCAAACCCCATCCCCATTGGCTGGGAAGGGAAGGGGCGTGGCTGCAGGAGAAAAGATTCCGGCAAAGGGCCGAGGCGGGAGAGCTCGGCTCGTGGCGGTGCTGTAACGTTCGACAAGGGCGGCGCGCTATAGAGCTGCGAGCGGGAGCCCGGCCGAGCAAACTGTGCGGCTGCTGCTTTTCTTTTGTATGTGTCACAGCCCCGAGGGCATCGGTCTGCACGTGCAAAACTAGAGCGAGGAGGAGAGGCCTGATCCAAAGGCCATTTGGAATCAACGAAAAGACTCCTTGGTCTCTTCCACTTATAGCCCTAGGGACAGTTCTGCAATTCTTTCAGACTGTTCCCCTAAAAATGTGTGCAGGGTAATTTTCCATTTCAATAAATGTATCTCCTTGATGTTAAGTACTCTCAATTCCTGCCTTGGGTTGTGTAGGTGTCAGGGGGGCAAAGAAATATTAAACCAAATAATATTTATTATATGTAAATCAAAAAATTGAATCTGTATAAACAATGCTCGGATGTGGAATATAAAAGGCCAGCAAAAATACTGCTTGGTTTGGAGGTTGCAGTTGAAAATAAATGTGAGAAATTCTCCCATAGTTCTTTGTTAGAGTATTTTATTACTCTCTTTTCTGTCAGTGGGGACATACACTGGGCCCAATCCTGCAATTTGGTCCACACGACAAGTCACAGTCACTAAAACTGGGGGTTAGACTAGACAATCCTTGTGGTCCCTTCTAACCCTATTATTCTGTGAATACCTGTTATATTGGCACACTTGACTGTTTGTATGTTTAATAGGTTCCACTTTAAAAATGTAGTCCAAAAAGCGATATGACTTATTTTGGTAGCTTCATTATACCATCAAACCTCATTCTTGTTTTAGTGTTGCAAGTAGGTTTGATCAGTCACGAGGATTAATGAGTTGATGTCAGCCTCCAATATATGTAGTAAAAATAACAAAGTTGAAATGCCCCCTTTGAGTAATGCCAAAACTCCACAGTGAGAGCCTAGTTTTCAGGATCATTAGAAATTATGTTTAGTTTACAAAGAAGACACTTTCAAACACACAGCAGGGATCAGAGCAATTTACATGTGTCTGTATAACCATGTAAAGTAGTGGCCCGTGCAATGACTAGGGAATACAAAACAAAAACCAAACTCCCTGTGTTGTTTATGAATGGATTTGATTTTTTCAAAGCCAACAAGGTGTAAATTCACACAGATGTATTCCTTTTCTGTCTCCATCTGCTTGTGAAAGATATTAATCATTGTCAGGACAAGCAAAGTGTCTGGACCACATCTACCATTCCAAAGAAACATGCTACTACGGACCCAAAAAGCCAACCTCATGGTTTTGACCGGCCAGGCAGACTTTGGACCACATTGAACTGCATCCAAATAAACCATGGAAGATGAAGCTACTTGACCCACAAGTGGAAAATCAAAGACTCCCTTTCATGCAATTGTGAGGAGAACATCCATCCCATCCAATCATAATGCACTGCCCCAAATGTGGATTCAAAGGTGAATTGGATGATACCACAGAGGAGGCCTTGAAATGGTTTATGGATGTACAACTGCATCTATAGCAGGGGTAGGCAACCTATGGCACGCGTGCCGAAGGCGGCACGTGAGCTGATTTTCAGTGGCACTCACACTGCCTGGGTCCTGGGCACCGGTCTGGGGGGCTCTGCATTTTAATTTAATTTTAAATGAAGCTTCTTAAACATTTTAAAAACCTTATTTACTTTACATACAACAATAGTTTAGTTATATATTATAGACTTATAGAAAAAGACCTTCTAAAAACGTTAAAATGTATTACTGGCACGCGAAACCTTAAATTTGAATAAATGAAGACTCGGCACACCACTTCTGAAAGGTTGCCGACCCCTGATCTATAGAATGATGCCCTGCAGATGCTGCCATATACTTGAGAGAGCAGACAAGCATCTGAAGAGTGGAGAAATTATAAAAATGCTTGGCTGCTACCTCTACACTATCATGAAAGATGCCTGAGTTTAATCTGGATTACTTGTGTTGCTCTTTAAATGTTACACTCAGAAAATAGCTTGTTGATTTCTGCTTAGAAAAGACAGTGGCCAACAGCAATGTTTACAGTTTATATTTTCCTAGGTTCTGGGAGTCTCTCTTGAACTATTAGAGTTCAGCTCTCATGGCCTCCTCTAACGTTATTAAAATTGTTGCTGCTCCTACAAAGATGTTGGTGCTTGGCATCCGAAGAAGTGGGCTGTAGCCCACGAAAGCTTATGCTCAAATAAATTTGTTAGTCTCTAAGGTGCCACAAGTACTCCTGTTCTTTTTAAGGTTTTCTAGTTAGTGGCACATTTTCCTTGGACCAGTTCAGAAGGTGACATCTCTAAACCATGCCACATACATCTAAAATAGCATTACATGCTTTGTCTTTAGTTCCTTAATAATGGGGTTGGAGTGGTGTTCTGTATCAGTCAAAGGGAGAAAGTTGGGTACTTAGAAGGTAAAGGGGAGCCCCTACAGATGCAGATTCTTCATAAGGAGAAATGAGTGCTTAGCCCATCCTGACTATGCCCTAAGAGTAGATTATGGGGCTGGAAGGTAGAAGAGAAGACTGCTTTGCACTGTCCTTAATTTTCTGATAGTGAGAAAGGCGGAGAGATGGATGCTGTTGTTGGAGAGTCCTGTGAGACATACAAATGTCAAATATGTCATGAATATATTGTTGATAACTATAGGTTGGTTCTCCTTAAATCAGAAAAGAAATACTCTTTCCTTATCAAAGACAACTAAGGCTAAAAAATGTTTGTTTACTCCTCCTCTGTTTGCCCAGAATAGAAGACCAACAATACACTTCTTAAACTTGTGAGACACATTGTCTAAGGTCTACACAGGGAAATTGACTGGAAATTTCTGACATTTCTTTCTCTATATATGATTAATTATCTTGTTCCTTCACTACTGTATAATGTCTCTTGTTCTGTTGTAAGCCCTGAAGGATGTGAAATGAAAGTCATGATATATAATCAAGGAATGTATGGACTATGTCCACTAAATGTAGAGGAACTGTAAAGGATTTTTTTTTCTAAATGATTGTCGGATTCTAGAAATGATATAAATTGTGTGGAATGAGAATGAAAAAGAATATTGAAAGATATAAGCACCTACTCTGTGTATGCATTTAAAATATTGAAATAAATTACTTAAAGGGGACATTCCAATTTATAGTTTGGTTAATTCAGAAATACAGTAATTGAAATGAATAAAACATAAAAAGCCTCCGAAAAGAAAAGGATAAAAGACATTTGTTATACACCATTGCCATCTACTGGTTATCAAGGTAAGTAGCACAGAAACTGAGGGAGCAGAAAAGTGAGAGCCTGACAAATGTTCAGTACAAAATAAGTGACTTGCTCTCCTCCAGTTAAAACTGAAACAGTGGAAACTCAATGTGGAACTTCAGAGTTTGCTGAACCCATCAAAGAAGCTGCAGAACCCTGTAGTGCTATTGGATGCTTATACCAGCCAATAGCCTTTCCATTCTCTTAAGGTTACCTTGCTGTGTCTGCAGTCTTTCTGTTGACATCCCAAGGAACTATATTTTGGGATTTTAACAATGTAATGCTGTATATATATATATATACATTACATATATGTTTCTTCTTGTAAATCCAAGTAAATTGGCCTAAGAGAACCTGAAAGAAAACTTCTAAACTATTTCTTTTGATGCTTTAAACTAGTCCACTTCAAACCAAACACTAGAAATAACAAGGACACCATTCATAAGAGTGCCTTAAGACCAGCTATATTTTTACTCCTTGGCAAATTACTTGAAGTATGATAAATGTATTATTAGAAATATTAAAGAATCAATAACTGATTATTTTAAGTAAATGTCATAAGAAAACTTGGTGATTTGTATTGTTCTATGGTATAACTGCTTGTGCTTGACCTCAATGCCATCTATGTCCATTGCCTTCAAGATAGTGTGTGGTAGGCTAATATACAAACTTAATCTATTAAACTGTTGATTATATACCAAAGTGGTTCTTGGTCAATTAATACAATATATTGATTGGTTAAGAGTAACTAAAGTCCAGATCCTCAGAGGTACTTAGGCTCCTAACTTCCATTGTAATCAGGACACTTACCCAGATCCTCAAAGGTATTTAGGCTCCTAACTTCCATTAAAATCAATGGAAGTTAGGAGCCTAAATACCTTGGAAGTTAGGAGCCTAAATACCTTTGAGGATCTGGATAAGTGTCCTGATTTGAAAAGTACTGTTCCAGGTAAATGTTGACCTGAAAATAATCTAGCACTAACATTAGTAATCTAACACTCTGGATTCAGTAGTGAGCAATTATCCAGTTAAATTCCATTAAAATATTGGCTATAATGTTTATCAAATTAGCAAATGTAGTTTGTAAAATGTCAATTTTAGAAAACTGGCATCACAACAAATTCATAAATGTGATCCCTATTCACATATATGATCATCCCACATAGAAACCAGGACATCACAGAGGGAATGGGAAGAGATGCGAGGGGAGGTCCCTCACAATAACCAGGACCATAAAGAGATGGGCGGGGGGAGATAGGTAACTGAGGGGTATCCCATGGCACCCACGGGCTCTACAGAGTGGAAGGGAGAGATGAGCTACCTTGAACCCAACAGGGTGAGGAGAGGTGCTGGCAGGGGTTCCCATGGTAGTCAGGGTCCCACAGAGTGAGGGAAGGGATGGGTGCTGAGAGGTGTCCCTATGGTGAGTGGGGTCCCACAGAGGGAGAGGAGGGATGGGTGCTGGGGCGGGGGGTTCCCATGGTGACCAGGGCACCACAAGGGGAGGGGAGAGATGGGTGCTGGGAGGTGTCCCTATGGTAAGTGGGGTCCCGCAGAGGAAGGGGAGGGATGGGTGCTGGGGGGGTTCCCATGGTGACCAGGGCCCCACCGGGGGCGGGGAGAGATGGTTGCCCCAATGGTTCTCTCTCTGGGGCACAGTTCCCCGGCACCACCAAAAGGGGTCACTGTGGCGGGAGGCTGCAGCCGCTGCTGGCCCCGATGCTCCCTCTTCTCCTGGCAGCGAGGGGGAAGGGGAGGTGCTTCCATTTCACCCCAGGCAGCCTCCGGCAAACCGGCCGCCGTTGCTTTGTGCGCGAGAAGCGGAGGCGGTGGCCGCTGCTGCTGCTGCGGGGAGTCCCCGAGCCGTGAGTGCGGGGCTCCCAGGGCCTGCCGGGCCGCGGCCGAGAGGGGGGCAGGTCTGCTGGGTGGCGGGCGCAGGCGCAGGGGCTGTCCGCCCTCCCCTGGTGTCCCCGTCCGAGCCTGGGAGCCCAGCCCCGGCGCAGAGGAGAGGGGAGGGTGGCGTCCACTGTGCGCCCTACGGCAGCGGGTTAAATGTCTCTGGGTCCCGCCCGAGCTCGGGATGCTGCGGGGAGCCCTGAAGAGCTGGCGGGTGTGAAGCCTTCGGCCTCTAATTAACGTTGTTTGTGCAGAGCATCCTCTATCCCCAGGCCCTTTCCGCCCCCGACACGCAGCCATCTCGGGGATGGAGGGAGCCGGCTGGCGCTAACGGGCTTGGGCTCTTGCCGGCCCATTAGCGAGCATCGAAGGAGGGCCTCTATTCAGTTAGTTATCGCTCTTTGACTCTATATTTCCAACCATTTGTTAAGCCAGGTAGAGATGCATCAATTTGTTTCTCTCCTTTTATATTGCACCATTCTGAGATCCATTGAACTTGGCACCTCTGTGGGTATTAAGCTTCCTCAATTGAGCTAACATGATGGAAAAATACACCTTTTTGCCTGTCAAGATGAGGCCTTGGTGTCTAGAATGCTGCTCTAATCAGGTCACACTGTTTTCATAAGCTATATTTTGAGAATACATCCAAGTGTGCATGTATCCAGACCATTTTGCGCACTCTGTTACTTCTGAAATTATGCTGCAAAGAAACCAGTACTTAGGGTGACCATGCGTCCCGTTTTGGCTGGGACAGTCCCTTTTTTAAGCCCTGATCAATTGGCAAGAGCAAACAGGACAAATGACCACTTTTGTCAAAAAAGTGGGGTCAGGCGGAACATGCGATGCCAGCCCCGGGCGATGCAGCGATGCCAGCACTGCGTGGGGGTTCAGGCCAGCCCCACACAGTGTCCCGCTTTCCCTTGGGGAAATATGGTCACCCTACCAGTACTGGACTTCAAATTCATATTGATAAAATGTACAAGTGCTTATATATGAATGCTGGAAGTCTAAATACTAAGATGGGTAAACTAGAGTGCCTGTCGTAAACGAGTAGGTTGGTATAATGAGCATCATGAAAATTTGGTGAAATGAGGATAGTCAATGGGACATGGTAATACAAGGCCTCAAATATATAGGAATAACACAGTAGGTCATGCTGTTTGGAGAATTGCACTAAAAGAAAGCATAGAGTCAAAATAAAAATCTTAAATTAATCAAATTGTACTGTAGGAGCTCTGTGGATAGAAATTCTATGCTTGAACAGTAAGAGTTTAGTAGAAGGAATATATTACAAACTCCCTGACTAGGATGGTGACAATGATTATGAAATGCTTAGGGAGATTAGAGAAGCTCCAAAGGCAGAAAATGCAATAATAATGGGAGATTTCAACTATCCTCATATTGACTAGGTATGTCACTAGAAGCAGGGACAGCATGAATGAATGCAGCTTGTCTTGGAACCCACGTAGGAAGAGGCAATTTTTGATTTAGCACAGGATCTGGTCCAACTGGCAAATATAGCTGAACCGCTCAGTAATAGCGGCCATAATGTAATTAAATTTAACATCCTTGTAGGGTGGGAAATTGCCAGAGAAACCCACCACAGTAGCATTTAACTTAAAAAAGGGGGCTAATACAAAAATGAGAACTCTAGTTAAACGGAAATTAAAAGGAACAGTCACAAAGGTGAAATGCCTGCAAACAACATGCAGACTATTTAAAAACACCGTGATAGAGGCTCAAGCTAAATATTTTTGTTCCCCCCCCCCCAAAAAACAACCCCAAAACAAAACAGTAAGAGGACCAAAAAATGCCACCGTGGCTAAACAGCAGAGTAAACAAGGTCGTTAGAGGCAAAAAGGCATCTTTTAAAAATTGGAAGTAAAAATCTTACTGAGAAAAATAGGAACATAAACTCTGGCAAATCAAATGTAAAAGTATGATTAGGCAGTCCAAGAAAGTTTTTGTATTCTTGGCTAGTTGCTCTAAAAAAATTGCAGTTAGAATTTGAAAAGTATTTCAGAAGCAGGAAGCCTGCCAAAAAGTCAGAGGGACCACTGGATGATAAAGGTGCTACAGCAGGGGTGGGGAACCTTTTTTCTATCGGGGCCGCTAGCCCACAGAAAAAATCGGTTGCGGGCAACCCACAGCCCCATAGGGGGCGGTAGGGCTCGGGGCTTCCCCCCGCAGTGGGTCAAGCCGGCTCTTGTGGCTTCAGCCCCGTGGGGGGGCCTGGAGGCTTGGGGCTTCCCCTAGGCTCCAGGCTGGGGCCAGAAATGAGGAGTTCAGGGTGCGGGAGGGGGCTCCAGTCTGGGGCAGGGAGTTGGGGGGCAGGCTCCAGCTGGGGGTGCGAGCTCTTGGGTGGGGCTAGGGATGAGGGGTTTGGGTTGCAGGAGGGGACTCCAGGCTGGGGCCAAGGGGTTTGGAGTGTGGGAGCGGGCTCCAGGCAGGGTGTTGGGGTGTTGGAGGAGGTTTGGGGTGCAGGCTCTGGGAGGGAGTTTTGGTGCAGGAGGTGGCTCAGGACTGGGGCAAGGGGTTAGGGTGGGGATGTGGGGTCTAGGAGGGAGTTAGGGTGTGGGAGGGAGTTCTGAACTGGGGTTGGAGTGCAGGTGGGGGTGCAGGGAGGGAGTTAGGGTACAGGAGGGGGTTCTGACCTGGGGCAGGGGGTTGGGGTGAGGGTGCAGGGAGGGGGGTTCCAATCTGGGACAGGGGATTCGGGGTGTGGGCTTCGGCCAGGCAGTGCTTACCAGGGCTTTGGAGCGGAGCCGGAGCACAGCTCCAAAGACCCGGCGCTTACCTCAGGTGGCTCCTGGTCGGTGGTGCAGCGTGGCTAAAGCAGGCTCCCTGCCTACCAGGGCCCCTAGGCGGGGGAGCCAGGCAGCTCTGTGTGATGCATGCCCCCCGCGTCCGCAAGCACTGCCCCTGCAGCTTCCGCTGGCCGCGGTTCCTGGCCAATGGGAGCTGCAGAGCTGGCGCTGGGGGCAGGGGTAGTGCGCGGAGGTTCCCTGATCGCCCCAGCTCCTAGGGGCCGTAGAGACATGCCTGTCGCTTCCGAGAGCTGCGCAGAGCCGACCGGACTTCTGGCAATCCAGTGAGCGGAGACTTGCTGCGGGCCAGATGAAATGAAACAATGGGCTGGATCTGGCCGTAGGTTCCCCACCCCTGTGCTACAGGAGCACTCAGGGAACACAAGGCATTTGCAGAGAAGCTAAATGAATTCTTTGCATCAGTCTTCGCTGCAGAGGATGTGAGGGAGATTCCCACACGTAAGCCATTGTTTTTAGGTGACCTATTTTAGGAATTGTCCAAGTTTGAAGTGTCAGTAGAGAAGGTTTTTGAATATATTGATAAATTAAACAGTAAAGAGTCACCAGGACCAGATGGTATTCACCCAAGAGTTTTGAAGGAACTCAGACATGAAACTGCAGAACTTCTAACTGTGGTATGTAACCTATCGCTTAAATCAGCCTCTGTATCAGATGACTAGAGCATAGCTAACATAATACTGGATTTTTAAAAGAGGCTCCAGAGGGGATCCTGGCAATTACGGGTCATGAAGCCTAACTTCAATACCAGGCAAATTGGTTGAGGTTATAGTAAAGAATAAAATTCAAACAGCTAAATGAACACAATATGTTAGGGAAGAGTCAACACCACTTTTGTAAAGGGAAACCATGCTCCTCAATCTATTAGAATTTTTTGAGCATGTCAGCAAGTATTTGGATAAGAGTGATCCAGTGGATATAGTGTTCTTGGACTTTCAGAAAACCTTTGACAGGATCCCTCGCCAAATGCCCTTAAGCAAAGTAAGCAGTCATAGGGTAAGAGGAAGGGCTTCTCATGGATCAGTAACTGGTTAAAAGACAGGAAACAAAGAGTAGGAATAAATGGTCAGTTTTTGCAGCAGAGATGTAAATAGCAGGGTCCCCCAAGGATTTGTATTGGGACGAGTACTGTTCAGCATATTCATAAATGATCTGGAAAAGGAGTGAACAGGGAGCTGGCAACATTTACAGATGATAAAAAAAATTACTCATGATAGTTAAGGTTACCGCAAAAACATACAAAGAGATCTCACTCAACTAGAGATGATCCACAAGCTTGATTATGAAATACAATATTTTTAACAAGTTGTAAGCTGTCAGTTGTTTAAAAAAATTGCAATGTACTATTGCTGTTTTAAGACTGTTTTCTCACTTCACTTGTGAAGAGAATAAATGCAATATATTTTGTTTTCCTAGGAATTAAAATGTCATCTTGGGTTAAGGTTACCAGGGGTCAAGTTCAGAAACCTATTGTGGATAAAAGGTAAAGTAAAATAAATATAAACACTTGAACAATTGTTTCTACAGATACTTATGAAAACACTAACACTTATTTTCATATACGAGTCTGAGAATTGTGGTCATTTCACTGTCATTGTTTTAAAATTCAGTCACTTTAAAGAGTTGAATGTCTTTAACAAAACAAACATGCATATATAAAGAATATATAAAAAGGAAAATAGAAACAGTCACATCCAATTCTACTTACTATAATTCTATGAAATACATAATTGTATTCTTTAAGGCCCCAGTCCTGGGAAGACTTCATCATATTAACTTGATGCAGTGAGTTGTTCCATTGACTACAGTGGGACTACTTAGTGTGTGAAGTTAATCACATGCTTAAAATTGGAGCCTATGTTTAGCATGAAACAGTGATATTCTACTTCTATAATCTAGAAAACAAATTAGCTAAGCATTTAAAATATCAACATATGAACATTTGGTATCTGCTGGAAATTGTTATTTATCGTGTGCATTTTATGTTATGAAACAATAGATTGAAAGGAATTTTGTAGTCAGTATGAGATCTACAATTTGTAAAATTTTCTGAAATGAATATTGTATATACTGTTGTTAGTGTCATTTGTGTAACTTATAGAGGAATAAGGAAGTACTCTATCCAGTTGTTGGTAGTACTGTACTGTTTGAACACACTCTGAGTACACCTTTCAGATGTCTGTGCGAATCGGTGTTCAAAAACATTCCTAAAATATTGTGCTTGGACAACACATTTTCAATCAGTCAGTTACATTTTCAATTCTAACTCCTATGGGGTGAAATTACTCCTATGCAGAGGACTAGCACAAAGTCTATGCACCACTTCAACCCCAGTTGATGTCCAAAAGCAGTCTTTACGTCCTATGAGAACTTAAGTGGTGTGCAGACCTTGTGCTGGTCCTCTGTACAGGGGTGAATTTCACCCTTAAGCCCCGATCTTGCAATTTATAACATATGGATGGACTGTTGTGCCCACAAAGAGCCATGTTGATTTCAGTAGGGCTCCATGAGGGTGCAGTAGTTTGCCTACATGCTGTAAATTGCAGAATCAAGACTTTGAACATTTTTCATATATATCAATGAGGACTAGTACATGACAAATAGGTTGTTTTTCAAATTTCATATCTCTTTGTTTTTGAAGGAGGGGGAGAAAATCATTGTGTAAAAAGGGTTTCTTTTTGTGCTTGCATAACAAAAAACAAAAAGCAATCTTGCACTGAAATTAAGCGTGAGAAATCTCATCCACAATGATAAATTTGACATTCTAGTGCTCTAGTGGAAGATCAGTTTGTGACTCAAAGAATTTCATACACTTCTTGCTGTAATTGTTGTTAAACATTTCAAAGGAATGGGCATAATAATTCAGAGCTAAATGGATGAACTGTGAAAGTAGAGAGCAGGGTTCGGTTGTGGAGCCTAGTCTCCAAGGATTGGGAAGCAATAATTCACAGTTTTCTTACAGAGGAACTACTGTGGCTAATTATCAGCCAGTGTGCTGAAAGGTTTTGGCCTTCCACCTATTTTCAGTGTGGATATTTGCTCAAGAAAAGGTTAAGGGGTTGGGTAAGGCCTAGAGTTCCCTCGTTTGCTCAAGTGGTATTATGGCGGAGGTTAAGGTGTCCAATAAAGGACCAAAATGAAACTAGATTACAACTTGTCTACATTAAAAGTATATTAAAATAGATAAGACGGACTATCTTTACAAAATATCTTTTTTGAACAAACTTACTCAAGGTAACACAGACATCAAAGCATTATCATATCAAGGGTAGAGATTGAAAAAATCATGTGCCTGCTCACCAGTGGGAAGCCTTCTCTGCATGCAGAGGCCTAACCAGCACTTCTTTGAAGAATTCAAACTTTCATATAAAAAACCCAGACTGTTTCTAGCCACTTCTGTTGTGAAGATGACCTACTGAACATAAGCCAATGTGGTGGTGGTGGTGGTTTCCTGAGTCTGCAGTGCCTCATAGCTGTGCCCACTAGCAGTGTAAAATTAATAAGACTAATCACTCCTATTTGTGTGGGCAACCCTGTAGACAGCAATGAAATAGTTGAGAGTATCAGTTTTGGTCTGCTGGCATCTGGCAAAATCTCATCAGCATAAATCAATGCTAGAATTTTTAATGCCCCCCCACCCCCACCAATAAATAAATAAATAAATAAATCTGTGGTGTGGGAGAAGACTAGAGTACCGGAAGCTTTTTCTGTGTTTTCCTTGCAGTATCCAGAGAGCGTCTTTTCCTTTCCAGTAGCTAGAAGTTGGTGAAGCTTCACATTTATCAGATATCAAGTAGCCAGATGCTGATATGAAAGCTGGAGCCCAATGCATGAATTCTAGCACTTCCATTACCTATGGCAGGAGGTTGTACTTTACAACACGTGATTCTTCTTGGAGCTCACTGATGTGGAGGCTTTCTACTTATCTTTTGTATCTATCATTGGCTAGTAGGTTTACTCCTCTAGCTAGTAGATATTTAGTAACTTTGTCAATTTTCTGACCTTTGGGATACTAAAAGTCTTGACCTACACCAAGAAGCAATTTTTAGATTAATGAGAATTGACCCAGGAAGCACTAAGTCAAAACCTATTTCTTTATCTTCAGACCTCATGTAGAACTTCCAAGATTATTTAAAAATGCTGCTTTTTTTTTTTTTTTTTTTTAAACTCAAGCAGTTAAATAGAACCTGACACCGTCAGTTGAATTTAAGTAGCTTTTACATTCTCCTGTCCAATGACATTCATTTGAGAATAGTCAAAATAAATGAAGTAAGACCAAACAGCTGTCCTCATTATACTACCATTGTAGCTTGAAGAATCTGTTTCTTCTAAGTAATACATCTGTCAGTGTAATCCTAGATGTAGCTTTCTGCTGTCGTGCGTGAAGCCTTATAACTAACAGCTTAAATAGAAAGGCTTAGAGTACATTTTGATTTCTCAGTAATTAAATGCACAGAATATCTGAAACTCAGAGTGTGAAGACCCCTGCATGTTCAGCACAGAATTAGATCTGAAGTGTCTTTTCTTTATGGTACAGAGAGGAAAAAAATCTCTCTCTCGATTGGTACAGGATCTTTTGGCATCCATTTCTAGATCTCATAGTGGTACTTTGAGCATAATCCAAGAGCATCTGGTAGCAGTGTCTATAGGAGATAATTAGGACAGCTCACTTGTTTCTTACTTTCCTCCTGTGCTGGTCGTCTTGTTATTTCTCTGTACAGTCCACTCTCCTATTGCACCATGTCACTTTAAAGTTCTAGTGTTAAAATTTCAAGCTATTGTAGAAGGTGTTTGAGACTAGATCTTCAGCCAGTCCCACTTTTGCATAAGACCATTTATTTATTATTGTAGCTACTTCATCCAGAAGTTCTGGAGGATTAAGATTATTATCCTAATTTTTGTTCAGTTACACAAGGGTAATTTCTTACTCAATTTCTAATTCTTTTCTGAATGGCTTTCTAAATTTCATGTTTAGCAAGCAATTACCTTTATTTCTTTCCAAACTTTCATTTCCCTAAATAAAATTAATATACAGATCCAAGAACGTCTTTTGGTAAGGAGATCAGAATTTAGGATTTCTTATTTTGGCCAACAATTATTCTTGCCAGGTGAACAAAATCATGTATTTCAAAACCCTTTGAAGTTTGTCATGGAAAGGCCAGCTTTACCAACAAGCTGCATCTGGAAAAAGGGAAATCTTTTGTTGGACAGTAGCAGAGCAGCCAACTGGATCATTTTTGGGGTATGTTGTATAAATACATATAAAATATTCCTCTGTACACATCTCTTGATAGAATATTAGAAATGGCAAATTTAGGAGCAATCTAATGCCCTGCTATATGGCTCATAACTGCTGCATAGCTCATGGCATGAGGGATAAAATATAGATTACTAGTGTTAGTAGCTGAATTTCATTTAATCAGTATCGCTAACTCTCCTTTCTTTGCTTTTTCTCTTTCTACAATTGAGGTGAGTAAGGTTTGCATATGCCTCTGGATACTTGGGGCCTACAAGAGAGAGCTTCAAGGAACACACCTACTCCAAAAAATCAGATTCCTTTACAACACAACACAATTTCCATTTTTTCTTTAGCTTATTCGCTCCTTAAAACATTTTATGATAATCTGAAAGTGTGGTGCATAAGGTCTGTGCTGCTGAAGAAACTCAGCACATTTTACTAATCTTGATTTAACTGCTGTTTTTTTACGGTTTGTCGTCAATATAACTTAATCCAAGCTCTTTTCATTTTGGGTCCAGGCATAGACCCGGATGGATTCCACGCCTTCTGGAGTAAGTAATATGCAACAGATTTATTGAGTTTTTAAGTAGATTATAAAAAGGTGGACTTTTTCTTCATCCAGTTTTGTGTGTAAAAACGCTATTGTGCATTCTATTTGTAAGCGTACACTTGTTTTCCCTTCTAGATGTCTTCATAAGTTAGACTTGTATCAAAGTAAACAAAACTCCTTTAGTAAATGTTAGAGGGGACAATCTTACAGTTTTTGTTCACTTTTCCTTAATATTCCTTTAGTACTAGATGAATGAGTTCTTGATCAGTCTTCAGGTCTTCACAATGTGCATATTATTTTCCCCAGTTTCTTCTATTCTTACCATTTTCTTTTCCTAAGTAGTGCCTCCTTAGCCTCCTATCTCCCTCTTCATTTCCTTCCCACATTTTCATATTCTGTTTTATATTACCAACACAGTGATTTAAGACTTTTGTCTGTTTCTCCCAATTATGAGATAAACATTGATACTTCCCAGAATGACTATTTTTGAAGAAATCCTGCAATGTGAACTAACACTACAGTTGCATTCTTTTACTGGCTTTCTCAAAAGTTTTCTGATAATGGATGAAAACTTATAGAAGTTACTAGGTTTGTGTTTGTGGGAACAATATTTTATTTAGAATTATCCACCTTAGATTCCTGGCTATATCAGATTATTCCATCAAAATAATTAAGACTCCTGGAGAATCCAAATTCTTACTAACTAGGTTGAGAAACTAAGTTTTTAAAACTAAACTTCTGATCTTTTGGATATGGAAGTGTCCTCTTCTATTCTTTGCAGAAGAATTTTTGGACTACTATTGGGACCACCACTTTTGTCCATCCAGTCATCCTTTCATCCTTGTCTCTTTCTTGCTATCTCAGCAGCAGCCATGCAATAGCACAGCCCAAAAGTGCTGATACTGGTAGAGCTGGCTGCAAGTGCAACAAGATAATGTTGCAGAATCCTGGTCCATTTCAAATGGCTGACATCTCCCAAGATGTTAGCACTTCTGTACTTGAGGAATGTGGTAATCTGTATTACCTGCTGCTGGGACCATTTATCTTGTGGTAGATTGGACCTACCTTATCAAGGTGCCTGGCATGCAACTAAGCATTAGTCACATCCAGTTTATATATAGTTAGTTCCTGAATAGTTTTTTGACATGCTAGGATTTCCAAAGCAGTTTTCTAATTATCATAAATAGCTCTCAGTTCCATTTTTCAGGTGATAAAATATTTGTAACTTTGACAACATAGTTAAAATATGAATAACTTAAGTCAACTACAGTGTTTATTTCAAGTGAAGCTGGCTCTCTACTGGTGTTGCAAGATTCCTGATCTCTTGACAAGAGATTTTGTCTTAACTTTACCTTTTCTCCTATTGCTTGGTTGGCATCCAAATATCATGCTGCTTTTCTTTGTGGCTACTGATTTTGTTTTTGTACATCATCCTAGTCAGCCTGTGTTCCCATTCAAAGCAACTTACTTTTGACTTGTTCATGTTGAGCCATCTGCTTATTCCTTTTATCCTATGGACTTCATATTGGCACTACCCTCATGAAACAAAATTGTACCAAGCCTATGTGATCCTTATCAAATCCCCAGGCACTAGGTCTATTAGTGACTTAAGTTTCTCATACTAGCCTTCCCCTATTCACCTCAGAGTAAGAAGGTTTTCCCAAATAACTGTTGTGATCCTTTCTGTGTCCAGTCCTTTCTCTATGTCAAATCCTATCTTGCTCTTCTTTCTGATGAAGTAGAACTGAAATATTATAGACAATAGAGATCAAGTTCTGTTAGGGCTTTTAGTCAATCCTCTTGCCAGTGCAGAAAAACTTCATTCTCTTAACTGTAATACATAAACTAATTATGTAATACATAAACTAAACTCGTTTTCTGTCCTTAATTTGTATGCAAATTTAGGGTGTCTCTTCATCAAGACAATTAAAACAGTATGTTTGTGTAAATATACACATTAGATTGTCTCCCTGTTCCCCCACCCTTTTTGTGTTGCTTGTCTTAGAGTGTAAGCTCTTTGGGGCAGGAACCTTGTCTAACAGTTTGTACAACACGCAGCACTCTTGAACCCTAATCTTCATTGGGGCCTCTGGCTACCACCATAATCTAAATATTAAGAATAAGAAAGTGAAGCACTCGCCTGTGACCTTTTGTGTGAAAATATATTTGGCTTTGTTAGCATAGGCATCTCTTGCAGAACAAAATGAACCAGTGTATAGGATTGGATTTTTATAACAAATTAAATGCTTAAAATTATAGGTAAACTGAAGTTTACTACCATTCAAAAGCCTTGCTTAAATTACATTTATATACTTAGTTTTTACCACATCTTGTTATGGGCAACAAATCAGTTAAGTCTTTACTGCAAGATCCAAAATCAGTTGTGTTAGCATGTGCTTCAGACTCTACACTCACTAGCAACTATGGGTTCAGGGGAAAACGTTAGATCATCCAGAACTACAGATAGAGGTGGTGTAAGCAGAATGTAAATAACACTTGCCCTAAAATGTCTCATCCGTGATTGCAAAACTTCATGACAGCTGGTATAACATCAACATTTCATTAAAAGGAAGAATAAAACATCAGCAGAAGCTGGCTGTAAACAAAATGTAGCTGCCTTGTTTTATGTTATAAGGCATTTTTTCTAAGACTGTGTCTACTCTTCAAGCTAGGGATGTGATTTCCCCTGCTCCTACACACACGATAGCTCTTGTTGAGATAGCGCAAGTATGAATAATAGTGCAGCTGCGTTAGCACTGATAGCGGCCATGGAAGTATGGATGAGCTGGTTTCAGGCGAGTACATACTCGGCACGGCTCAGCCTTGCCTCTATGGCCACTACCAGTGTTACTGTGGATGCACTGCTATTTATACTTGAGCTATCTTGATGAGAGCTAGTGTAAGTATGTGTGAGGAGCAGAGGAATCGCACCCCTAGCTTGCTGTGTAGACCTAGCTCAATGCAGGCAAAACCTTACAAGGAAATATGAAAGTGTCACTGGCTTACAGATGCCCAAGATTTGTGAAGGAAAGTTTTTGGGAATGTTTTGTCTTCCTTTGACTGAAAGGAAGATATGTTTTGCTTCACCATAATACTGCAGCCCTGGAATTAAGCAGATTCTTTTATAATAGCATTTGTTTTAAAACCAAAACAAACAGGAATTTGGAAAGTCCATTAAGAACTTTAGAGTACCAGTATGTAAAACTTAAGCTTTTTAATTGTAGCCATGCAAAAGCTCTTTTGATCGAACATACCTAATCTCATATTTCTTGTCTCTCTTAGCATAAATCCTTATAGACCATACCAGAAAAGTCCTTATTCTCCCCAAGATGGTTATTCAAAGGACTTTGAAGATCTGAATAGGTAAGACACAGTTTTCAATAGGATAACTATGTAAATGATTTAAAGGCTTTATGAACAACCCATTTGTCTGTAGGAAAATACTTCTGTCTATAAACAAGCTCACTTTTGTAATGCCTATGTTTTGTCACTGATATTTACATGACAAGAATTTGTATATCTGTTAAAACTTCCTAAATAGTTGTTGAGTTTTTTGTTTTTTAAACACCTAGTTTGTTCGTGGTATCTAATGTATAGCACCTGGGCACCCTACAGTTGTTTTAAAATAGAGTTAAAATAAGACTATTTCTATATGATGGTCAGACCCCAGTAGTAAAACTTACCAAGGTTGCACCCTGAAAACACCAAACTTTGAATCTTCAGAGGGGTGAATTTTGGAGGAGAGAGCTGTCTGTTGAAGATGCCCTGCCACTGATCTTAGAGTTCAGTCTCTGGAGCAGAGAGCAGAAATGCCTCCACCAGTCTTGACTGAACTATAGCAATTGGTTCCAAGAACTTTCAGGGCTTTATAGATCATTGTACAATGATTTTTTTTTTTTTTATTATTTTTTATTTTTTAAATGTACTTTAGTTTTAGTGAAGCTACTTGGGCAGTCAAATGCTTTTTAATGGAAAATTAGCTTAGTCTTTAAGTATGGAAAGACTAACACTTCTCACCTCTCCATGGCTTAAAGTCATCTATTCTGAAATTCAATATTGATAACTTGTACACTACTACTGTTTTAAAACCTTTATCTTCCTAGTTTGTGAGGATATCTGTATGAATTGGGCTGCTATAATGTTTTGAATATATTTTTTCCCCAAAATAATATTTCCTCCTTAGTTTTGAAGAACTATTTGGACAACAGTATGACTATTCAACAGGAAATGAAGATTACTATGAGAGATATCAGTATTCCCAAAAAGGTAAGCATTTATAACTAATTGATATTCCTTTTTGTTAGAATATACCCCCTGCAGCCTTTGTATGGGTCTGCAGGAGAAAGAGGAACTCGGTGGTTTGGTCACAGAGTGCCTGGCCTTTAAGGGAACTTGGGGCCCAACCTCACATTTGACTGATCAGCTAGGGATCAGGTTATTGTAAAAGCCAGCAGGTGACTTGGTAGCAGGCCCGGAGCAGGGAGGCTCTGGTAAGAAATTCCTGGCTCATGTGGGAGAGCTACAAGAAGCAAGTTGGCGCCTTTGGCACACCCTGGAGCTGGATGACTCTGGCAAATGGCTGGGAAAAAATTAATCACGTGGGGAATCAGTAGGCCTCTTCAAAAGACCTTGCACTGAGAGGAAGAGACAGTTGAAGTATTGTGTTAGTTTATGTGGGAAAAATAAAGCTGAAGCCTGAGAAAAGGGCCCAAATCACACTCTAGTTATGGTGTCAATCTTTCCTGGCTGGGAAGACAGGCCAGCAGTCTACAGGCTTCTTTAAGGGTCTCCCACTCCCTGTGGGAACTCAGCTTCCTCTTGGGTTTGGAAGGGATGATTGGGTTTATCCTGGACGATTGTCTGGTCTGAGCAGCACATTAGAAGCCCAGGGACTCTTATGCATCCAAGCCCTTTCCCCCTGGCTGGGACATCATTACACACTCAAAGCAATGGCTTAGATGCTGGCAGGGAAGTAGTCCAGCAGAATGGGAGCATGGGGTGCCTCCTGGTGTGAGAGAGTCCCGAGATACATCAAGTTGACGGCGGTGGTCCCGGCAGGTCCCAGTCTGCATGAGACCCCAGGGATACCCGGAAGACAAGAGACAGAAGTGGCAGCCCAGCAGCCAGGTTCTTCCAGGCGACAGGATCCGGAGCATGAATCCTCAGCAGTGGAAGTTGGCCCAACCGCCCCTTGCTCCCGAGAGAAGTGGAGAACAGCAAGGGCTGCAAGTGTGGTCCCCCCGGCAGGGGTATCTCCTTTGCCGGTAGTGGGTGAGTTTGGGCTCTGGGGAGTGCAGAGGGCATATACTTTGGAAGATGCACCCAGACAGGTGGGGGGCGGAACAGTACGGTACGGTGTGGAGGGCCATGCCCCTTCCTTTATGGACAGAATCAGAGAACTAGACAGGCAGCAGATTTTTCCACAGGGACAATGGAGGGAGCCTCTGAGCTGGAGGATACCCCTGGAGCTCCTCTTGGGGAGACTGGGTGGGTTTCCACAGAGGGTTCCATCCCATTTGCCCTGGGTTCCCCAGGCAGTCTGGGGTACAGGCTGCAGGTGGAATTACTATTCCAGCCAGGTGGCCAGACTTAAACACCGTTGTGGATTCTCTGGTCCTCAAATTACAGAAGTTTGTTCTTCTTATCCCCTAACTTCTGTTGGGGAATCTAGCATGGGAACCACTGCATGCCCAACATGGACTCCAGTTTGGGGTAATGGCAGCAGCCAAATCGATTCTGGTCTCATCAGCAGGGTAAGAGCTACCAATCAAGGAGGGGTAGGAATGCAGGTGGTGAATCTCACTTAGGCTTGCAATGTAGGGATAGGGGCCAAGGCCATAGAGATGGGTACATCACAGGGTGGTGTGGAGCAGGTGATGTGGTGGGTTCCCCTGCAGCTGTCAGCTTTTTGTCTTCCAGGTGAAAATAAGACAGGCTTGTACAGGAATGCCATCTCCAGTTGGGGGTGCACCTTCTTAAAGCCACTTAAAAAAACCCACAGAAATATTCTCATTGTACAGGGAAGCAATGATGGAAGGTAGAGTGCAGAGGAATAAGAGGGACACTGAGAATGCGAGATATCAAAGGGTGGCTTGAACCTGGGAAAACTGACAACCTGCCTTTTTGATATATGCTGGGGTGATGTCTGGCAAATATCTAGAGAAGGTCAGCCTTTTACAAATATATGTACATATTCTATTGGGCCTGCAATACATTTGGGGGTATAGCATGGGCCCATTAAGACGAGGAATTTAAGTTGCAGGCTGCATGCTACATTTCCACAAATGAGGTGTGACAGGGCTGATAATGGCCTCTGGTTAGAGCAGATGATCCTGACTTGGTCAGTGCCATTCATACATACCAACAGCAGTTTATTGTTTCCACAGCAGGCTAACCAGAGATCTGATTCTTGCAGTAAAGTATGCTGGGACTTCAGTGAAGGTGGATGTTTTTGGAACTTCTGCAGATAAAAAATCACATGCGAGAAGTGTTTCGGTGTTCACCGGGCACTCATTTGCCACAGCATTTGTGGAAATTTCCAGACCAGTAGAAGGAGGGATCAGTCAGATTCTCCCTCTATCCCCACACACAGGACCAAGTAGCAGGAATGGAGGAAGGAGCTTTATCTCCAGCTCAAGGTGCTTTGGGTGTTTCCCTGGGATTACCCTAACAAGATAGATGGGGCATATTTTTGGGCGGAGTTTATAGTAGGATTTGGGATACCATATGAAGGAGTTGGAATTCACACATCTCAAGATTTGACATCGTTAGAGGGTTTGAGAGACCTAATAAGGGGCAAGATTTAACAAACTGTTTCTAAGTGAATTACAGGGCTATTAATGCACTTACCTATGACTGACCTGCAAGTTTCTCCTTTGGGTTTGGTCCCCAAAAAGGCACCAAGGAGTATTGGAAGCTCCATGTATGATGCAATAGACCGGGAATTATGTTCAGTATGTTACTCTTCTTTTGGTACCATTGTGAACCTGGTGAGGACTTGCAGCCCCAGGGCAATTTTAGTGAAATGTAACATTAGGTTGGCTTTTTGACTGCTACCAGTAAACCCCCTCAGATTTCAGACCTGTAGGGTTTTATTTGGTAGGTCGGCTTTTATTTTGACAAGACCATAGCAGTGGGATGCTCAATATCGGGCTCAGCCCAAAGCTGGAGGTCAGTGGTATGGGAATTGGGTTTACAGCAAATAGCAAACTACCTGGATGCCTTCTTGTTTATGGCCAGGGCAGATTCTAAAGTGTACCAGCTTGTTGATCTCCTGTTAGCAGTAATCACAGGCACTGGCTATCAGAAGAAAAAGGGGATCAAGTTAGATATAGAGACTGGCATCCCTAGACTTTCTGTGCATAAACTTGCAGAATTATTGGGATTAAGAAGGACAGAGCAGCCAAGTAGATTATGCTGCATGAACTGCAAGCTGTTGTTTGCCTTCTTAGTTTTGCATAGATTCATAGATTCTAGGACTGGAAGGGACCTCGAGAGGTCATCGAGTCCAGTCCTCTGCCTGCATGGCAGGACCAAGTACTGTCTAGACCATCCCTGATAGACATTTATCTAACCTACTCTTAAATATCTCCAGAGATGGAGATTCCACAACCTCCCTAGGCAATTTATTCCAGTGTTTAACCACCCTGACAGTTAGGAACTTTTTCCTAATGTCCAACCTAGACCTCCCTTGCAGTTTAAGCCCATTGCTTCTTGTTCTATCCTTAGAGGCTAAGGTGAACAAGTTTTCTCCCTCCTCCTTATGACACCCTTTTAGATATCTGAAAACTGCTATCATGTCCCCTCTCAGTCTTCTCTTTTCCAAACTAAACAAACCCAATTCTTTCAGCCTTCCTTCGTAGGTCATGTTTTCAAGACCTTTAATCATTCTTGTTGCTCTTCTCTGGACCCTCTCCAATTTCTCCACATCTTTCTTGAAACGCGGTGCCCAGAACTGGACACAATACTCCAGCATGCAGACTGGTAGTTCCTGGATAGGCATTTTGTGCCCTGCCATCAGCTGCTATGTCAGGGATAGCTAGGCTCAGCCATTTTAAAAGTATGAGTAAAGAAATGAAGATGAATTTATGGGCATGGAAACAGCTCAGTTCCTAAATCACTTTAATGGAGTTACCTTTTGGAGAGAGGAGTGTCTCCTGCTAGATGCCTAGTTGGGGCAGAGACAGACCTGAAAGTTCACTCATGCATTGGGGACACCAGGTTTGGGGCCTTTACCAGGGTGGGTAGTGTGCTTGGAGAGGCCTAGTGATCGTATACTCTGGGAGATAGTATACTGGGTTTTCCCCCCCATTTTAGTTGCAGTGATGATCTGGGGGGGAGGAGGTCACAAACAAGTGAAATTCTATAGCAATAACATGGCATTGGTACATATGAACACCCACTCCCCCAGGTCACTCAGAGTTACAAGGTTGGTGAGGGCACTTGTCCTGCAGCGCTTAACTTGTAAAATCTATTTTACTGCTAACATGTGCCTGGGATTAATAATGGCATAGCCCATGCTGTCTTGATTGCAGGTGGATGGATTTCGAGATTTGGCACCAGGACCTGACAAGGAGCCTGAGCAGATGTCGCTGGCCTTTTGGAACCTTGGCTCGTGACTGTGCTTGGATTAATGCAGAGATCAGCAGCCCCATGAACGTTTAGGGTTTTAGAGAATTGACTCAGTTTTGGGGTAGGCTTGCCCGAGATTTGGCCAGTTCCTGAAGCGTGTGGTGTCTGATACACCATGGGCTGGCATCAATGAGTGTCTCAGTTGTTTATCAGCATCACCTTTTCTAGCAGGATGTTGGGTATTCTGGATCCTTGTGGCGGGTTTTTAGTTAGGAGGCTGTTAGATGAGTGGTCTCGCCCCACAGGCCTTACAGAAGATCCCTGATGAGCCATCATTATTCAGATTCTTTGGGATCACAGGTATGTTAATAGAGCCAGTATGCAGATTTGAACAAGTGTATTTTTGGGGTTTTTTTTTTTTTTTTTTGAGTGTTTAGTCAATGAGCTCGTGCCTACATCAGCAAGGGGGTATTTCAGGTAGAGCTTTGGATTTTAGGGACTTATATTGGGGGAGCGACCAGTCATTTTGACTCTGATAATGTCGATGGATTAGGGAGGGGAAGGGGAGTCTATAGTATTGCAAGAGTTTGGGAAGGCAGGGACTTGCCCAGTTAGAGCTTTAAGGACCTACATATTGCTGAGGCTGGCTAATGGTGGGCCACTCTTTCTTCCTGTTGACAGGAGTTTCTCAAGAAAATTCCAGTTTGTGGCAGTCTTATAAAAGGGGCTTACATTATCAGGTTCCCTGCTGGTGAATTTGGGTACCATTCTTTCAGGATCAGGGCAGCAACTTCCTCAGTGCAACTGGCAATAGGGGCTTGAGGGATATAATTGGTTGATGGCATCCAAATGCACACTTGGTGCATATGAGGCCTCCAGTTGAGAATTAGAGACCAGTGGTGTGAATGTGCTATGTTTTGCTGCATACCTGGTTTTCTGGATCAAGGGAGCAGGTGACGAGATAATGATTAGATCTGTGGGCACAATATTGTTCATTGGGCCCAGAAGTAGGCAGACGGTTGCCCAGAAGGTTCACAATATTAGGCCTTGGTGAGGAGATGATTGCATAGAAGGAGGAGCATGCTCTGGGATTAGCTGATATCCGCTTACACTCTTTGGTAGCCATCTGAAACGATTATTGTGCACCAAGGTGAAAACAATTTGGGATCTTGTAAGGGGGTTGACTTAACAACTAGGGCAAAGAGACAGGGCAGAATAGGACCTTTTCCTATGGATATCTGTAATCTGGTTTGAAATCTTGCAGCAGAGATTATGGTAGAGAGCCACCAGGCCTCCACATGTTCATGAGGCCAGAAAATGTGTAAATCAGAAAGTGATTACGTTTTTAAAAATCTATTGCGTTACCTCGGCTATTCAGGGAAGACTCTGACAGGGACTTAGTATATTTTTGGCCAATGTTAGTGAAGGAGTTGTTAACATATGGGAACCTGGTTAGGGATGTGGGGAGGTAGCCAAGCTAATTGCTGCCACCTCCTGATTGCATGTTTCCAGTGCAAGTACTTTTTAAATAGAGGACTGGTTCCTTGATGAACTAGAGTTGGAAGTGGATTTAGGGGAAGGCATATTCTAAAGAAGATGGGGGAACAGGGTTGGGCCTCCGAATGTCTCATACAGTGAGGAACCAACCCTTCCCCCCCAGCATTTTAGACCTAATATGAGGGGTGGGCAGTGGGCTAACAATGGGCTGGGCTCAGGTTTGGAGTGGGGTCTGAAGACAGTCTTCCACCAGGTAGAACAGATTTAGGGAGGAAGGGTGACATGCATAGGATTAGTTATTACTGGATAATTCCCAGATGAGTTAATAAAATTGCTGCCTAGTTAAATCACATTCCTTGTGTCATGTCTGTCTTGCTGTGTGTCCAAGACAAATACATTTTTACTAATTTCACAGTTCACTTTTTAGTGGACTTCTCTGTTTCCACAATACTTAACTGAGTGGGAAAGACACCTGAAGCTCCGATGCTGGTTTCCAGTCACTGTTACCTTTTAATCAATTTGTTCTTTGATTTTAGATGATGACTATACCAGGGATGATCGTAGGGAGAAGCTATACCTACAGTTTTACCAGCAGATACAGAAAGAGTATGATAAAGAAAGACCTTCTGACTGTATCATTGTGGCCATCAGCAAGGAACAAACGTAGGTTTCTAATTTAAAAATGAGGTGTTTAAGGTTTCCAGTTAAGACGTTCACTTAATGATACTGTTCTCTCAGAGCTGAGGATGTAGGTAATATTTGAGTGTTAAGCCTACTTTTTCCTCTCTGAAGTTCCTTAACATAATTTAGTCTTTTCTAAAGTATTTTAAATTGTTATGCATCTCCTAGGCCACTGAGCATATTAAATGTGCATGGGGGCACACGGAGGAACTTTTAAAAAGTTACTTCTAAAGCAAATTAACTCTGACTCAACTCTTAATTTTTTTGTTTACATTTTAGCATTTAATAGGAGAATCTTCTTAGAAACCATGAAATCTAATCAATATAAAATAATGTTAAAAGTAGATTCAGATCCTACATCTGTCCTTGAGTCACCTTGACAATTTTTAATATTTTACATATTTTCCTAATGTAAAAAAATGTTGTTCTCTGCAGCTGCCAAATGAAAGATCCACATAAACAAAAGGGAAACTGGCTATATACAAGCCACTATCAAATGTGCAAACTCAAATAGGTTTTATTCTCTAATCTTTTAGTCATGTTAAATGGTGCTTACAGCAAAAGAAATTTAAAAAAAAAATCTGAAAGTTTTAAGTGCAACATCCCTTTAAACTGAAAGCAAATTTTCTAGTTTTTTTTCCTCTTAGGTAACTTGGTTTTCTTTCAGATTAATCCTTATGAGTAATGAAGTCGTCATAGCAAGACCTTACATTTTCTATTTAAAGCATTTAGTGTCATTTTTTAACAAATACAAAGTAAAGGCTTGAAGCATCATGAAATTACATATATGGCAAAACAAGAGAGTTAAATGAGGCAGAGTGCAAAGAACTTTCTTCTTGGTTATCCTAGAACTATTAACTTTCATATCATAATTGTCCATCTCCTGGAGATGACCAGGATCAACTTCGATATGGAGGTCTTGACAATCCATTGATAACATTCGTCATAGGATTTATTTGAGGACCAGGAGGATTGGTGCAAGAAAGTTTAACTTTAACATCCAATGTTTAGTTAATGTTCAATATCATCACTTAAATTGTATTTATTTATTTCTTGCCTCCTCCTACATTTCCATAACAAAATGAACGTTTTATATTTAGTGTCCAATACAAAATTAATTACCAATATGCTATTTTTAAATGGGTGAACTACATGGAAACTTGTAGATAATAAACCATACTTTTTAGAATCTTACACAACTTCTAGTAAGGGAATCAACAACTCATCAGTCTAAAGCAGTGCTGATACTGCTGCTCTCCTTCGAGTGTTGGATCCTGGTGCTGTAAATACGATACCTGAGAATCCCCTTTCTTTCCTCCCTCCATCTGACATATTAGTCTTTTGATATTCAGATGTTACTTGGATTACACTAGAGATTTTGCTCATCTCTTAATTCATGGCACCGTCTGAAAGATGTTATGGTGGGTGATCACTTCAAATGCAGTTGGCAAATCCTCTGTCAGTACCCAGCATAGCACGATGTCAGGGGTCAGTGCTCTGTGAAATGTGTCTTCTGTATTCGGTAGTAGAGAGACCTGCAATCATGGTGAAAACACTGCCATTACTATAGCTTTGTCTGAAGGAACAACTTAGCCTGGCTGGTTGAGTCACCTGGAGTGCAGTGATCATACTCAGTTCTCTAAGCAGTTTGTAAAAATAGACTTCTAAAGTTGATACAGTTAGAAATAATTGTGTGTAAAATTGATATCTTGATCTCCATTTTCCTTCACTGGCTTTCACATCAAATCTACTTAATTTACATGTTAAAGCAGAATCTTCCTAACTGCCAAAACAGTAAGTACCATGTGGTACACAAAGTTATCTGCATTTCTGTCGTGTGTATATAATAATATAGTTATTGGCTGTTAGCTAACAGTTCTGATGAGGAAGCTGAAATGACCAGGGCTTGCTTTTCCCTATCTATGTTGCTTCCCTAGTGTTGACACTAATAAACTTTCAATTGTAAAATAAGCAGATAAGATCAGAAGTTACATAGGGAGCAGTGTACATATAGTATGATGTGTGCTATACATTTGCTGAGCATAAATACCCTTTAAACCTAATTCTCAGTGCCCTTTCTTTATCTTCACACATTTATTTTTAAAAAGCCAACTAGTTAATGTAACTAAAAGGCTTACACTAAAGCCAGTCATAACAGTTTATACTATTGTGGCAAGAGAAAAGAAGTCAAGTTTTAATTGAATACATTTAATTGACTATATCAGTGAAGATATATAGATGATGAATTAGAATAAATAAAATGCTAAATATAAATAGTTTCAATCATTAATGTATTAATATATATATATACACATACTTTCCAAAAATAGCACTTAATACATGACCCACAGGGATCCTCAATTAAAAATTCCCATATATGGAGGGATCAGATTTCCAAACAGTTGAACCTTAAGACAAATATTTTCTAAAATAGTTGGTACAATATATGTTTTCTTTTTTTAAAAAAAAAAATCTCCATTCTGTCATCTAAAAGAGCTTGTCTGATTTAAGGAACATGCCATTTGTGGAAAGAAAATTGTTTCTTACACTTCACATAACTAGAATTGTTACCTGTAACTTAGAGCATACAAAACATGAACTGCAGCATGGCAACAACTAACAGTGACACAGACTTTTATTTGTAAAATAACCAGCCTCTTTTTTTTCTTTAAGGGAATATGCAACAGTCATAGGCCATCGGTTGCAGGATCATGGCCTTGTGGTGGAAATGATATACCTTACATCTGAGTTGGGTCTCACACGCGCCCTCCAAGAAGTTAAAAATGATGGTTCCCCATTTTGTATTCTTGTTGAACAGTCAAATGTAGCACTTTCCTCTTGCACCGTAATCATGCTTCATGAGTCTATCAAAAGTAAGTTTAGCTTCATGTAGAAATGTCACTTAAAATAGTCCCCATTCAAAACTGCAATTTAATTTTCTTTGAACATATTAAAATATTAAATACTGACACATTACACCTCTTGGTAACAAAGCCTGACCTAGTTAAGATGTGACAATTTGTAAATACTTCATTGAATTAATTTCCAATAATTCACAAAACACAAATCCATCTGCCCTGAATTTCTTTTTCCTAAATGGCATGAAATAGACAACAAAAGCTGTCAAACATAGTAGGGCATTATATATAAATAACATGATTTACAGTTCACATTCTTATCTTACTGCTACATAGATGGATCAAATTAAATTCCATCTATTTTAAGTCTTCAATTTTCTAAAACTTTAACTTCAGATTTCACATCTTTCCCCTTAACAAGAACACAGCTGTTCTAGTCATTATTAAAAAGGCACTTTTTTTTTTTTAAATGAAAAATACCTAACTGTCCTGTTCCCCCATTCAGGTAAAATATGTTCTGAATTTAAGAAAAAAGTCTATGCTAATACTACTTTTCCTCTTATTTCAATCAGATGTGTGCACAACTGTTCAAGTGTGAAACCAGGAATCTTTTTAGCCCAAGCTTAAATTAAGATGACAAGTGACCTGTATCTTTTAATTGGGGAAACTTTTTACATTGCACATAGCTGTGCTGAATCAAACTAACTTTTGTAATTACAGGGTAACCATGTTAATACTGAAACAGAAACCTTTTAAATTTCATTCAGTTGAATTACACACAGACTTAACAGCTCTGTTTTTTGTCTTTTTGTAAATGTGTCAAGTAGATGGGAACACAAGACTGATAAAGCAAGCTATCTCTCTTCTCTGTAGTACACCGTAATATGCCCATGGAGGATGCATTGGCTCTGGTAGTTAAAGCATTTGGGAAAATTTTTGCTGAGCGTGAGCAGCAGGAGCGTGCCGAAATTTCACACAAAGCAGCTGATCTGGCGGATGACTACCTAGAACGGGAGCTCTATGGGAGTTACAGTGTGCCTCTAGGCGTTAGACATCTCCTCTTTCTGTTAAGTGAGGGAAAATATTTATATCGTGAGGAGTTGAACTCAATAAGTGACTACCTGAAGACCAGGAAAGATGAGCTTGAAGGTATTCATGCTTTTTTCCCCAAAATACAACTTTAAACATTTTTTTTAAATCAACCTGTGTTACAAAACCAGCTGTCAGGTACATTACACATAAATAGTCTACAAATATAAATGATAAAGGTGAAAAAGGTCAAAAGTCCACCTGTAAATGTCAATGTATATTAAAGCACGTGTATATCTATCCTAAAATCAGATACATATTCCCTATTGAAATGGTCACACATCAAACACTTCATCTTTATATCCAAGCCATCCAATGGGCAATCACTTTCCCATAAGATTCACTGTTACAAGTAAATTTTTGTAGCTCTTCTGTTAAGACACACATTTAAGTTTTGATAATACCATACACATATAAAAGCATTCTAAATTAAAGTCACTTAGAAGGAACTATTATGCAGAATTTCACATCTGGTTTAATAAAAGCCATTAATTCAACCATTATATACATTTTGCAAAGTATTCAAGAGAAATTCAGCAGAACAACTTTAACAGATAAAACAAACCAACAAGCTTGCATAAGTTGCAGAAAACGTGTATTTTGGAAAGATATTCTGGAGTTCTCTTGATCCCTAGGACTTGCAGCCCTATAGAAACTTCTTGAACCTCTACGTTAAGGGGTTAATAATTAGAAATAATCTTATCATTATAGGTCACGCCGTCTTTGTAATGATGTACTCTTAAGAATTAGTTACTTTGCTGTTTGTTTGTTTGTTCTCTTAAACTAGCCCTTGTTGAACAAACTGATCCTTCAACTGAAGTTGAAGACACGTTGTATCAAGCAAACATGATGCCAAGTACAAGCACTGCCACCCATACCTTAAGTAAACCTCCACCCCTTCTGCCGACACCCAACAGGAATGTTCTTTTAGGCCAGTCGCCCCTTCCTCCAGCTAAACCTGCATTGTTGGGTGATAGGCCATCAGGAGCTCTTCTTCCAACACCAGGTTAGTAACAATTTAACTTCCTCCTATGTCAAATTTTATATTTAAAACTATTTTACTACCTTGATTTTTTTTCATGACTGATTCGATCATTCACCGCAATAGATTTGCTCACAAAAATGTAATAGAAATATTATAATCAACGTTACGGGAAGTATAATAAAGTGAGGGGATGTGGAACCCAAAAATATTGGAGTCGTTTGCAAATATTTAGAGTGGTGATTCAATAATAGCATAGCCAATTAGTTTATTTTATCATCCATGTATCATTGTGTTTTGTTTTTATGGTCAACTCATATGCTATTTCATATATAATCAATGTATGCTAAATAGATTTAAATTGTAGGATTATAGAAGTGTAAGACTGACAAGTATTTAGGAGTGATGAGTATGTATTTGGTATATAAGTAAAGCATGGCTGGAATGAAAGGCCTACAGGCTGAGGCCTGTAAGATTTTAGCTGCACCATATTAGGCCGTAGGCTTAAGAATGCTTGACATGAGTTGTTGACCTAGGAATAACCCTATGCCAGTAAGGTCATAAGATTACTGCAAAAGATGTGCCACTAGGTGATGTTACAGAAAACTGGAATAGACAGCAATGTATTGTCCAAGACCATGAGACACCTGATTGTAACATCGTGGAATGTCATGTCCAGACCACAGGTTATATGTTGTGTGTAGATGCTAATGAAAATAAAATGAACTAAGAAATAATCTATGAAAAATGAGGCACTCCAGTATTCATGGGGTGTGGAAGTACAGATAAGGGAAAAGAGGGTTGAAACGCTCATGCATATGCATAGGGTATTAGGTGTGGTCAGAACAACAATATAAAAGATGTTTCCTGGTTGGGTAAAAGTGGAAAGATCCAGCAGGAACCATCCTCTGTCGATGATCATCTGTTGAGAGGTCCATTGGACCCTAGAATATCTGAGGATGTGAATATGACTGCAATCTTAGTCATTGCATGGGTTTTGTAGGATTTATATATGCATGGGTAATTATAGCTTCACTTATTGGTTTAATAAAACTTGTAGTACAGATAAAACTTTGTACTTGTGATTGTGTCACTATCCGGGGTCATCTTGTGTTCCTGAAGTCTCCAAATTTGAGAAAAGCACTAGAGGTGATTTTCACTTTGAGCTTGAAACTGTAGCCCCAGGAGCTGAACCCATGGGAGTTTATATTGAATTTAGTAATTTTGTATTAAATAAAAAAAGGCTACAATAGTTTAAAAAAAAAAGTTGGATGATTTTACCCATACTACCTTTCATAGCAGACTTTCCAGGACAGGGGGGTAGAGAAGAACAACTATTCTGTTCCTATCTAAAAATGAATCTCCTGTAATATTATGAAAGTATAGGGACTTTTTTTCCAGTTGCCAAAGTTAAGCTCTAGTAAAAGAACTATTTGAAGTTACGAAAGCTTATAGAAAACCAAAGGGGCGTCTGGGACGTTGAGGGCAGTTCAGGTTTTAAACATGAATTCTCCTAGATGCTTAAGACTCTTGTGTGGTACTAAGCCTATGCTGAGTTAATTAAAATTAAATGCTTATTGCTTTTATGATTGAAATTGGGATGCATATTAACAATTATTGGGAAATCCGCATAACTTAATGATAAGAATATAAGACATTCACAATTTTGTGTGTACATGATCTGAGTCTTCAGCCTCAGGGCTAATACTAGGCACAAATTTGCATCACAACTGGTGTCCTGCTGTGCTGTCTTAAATTAGTCGTTATTGGGTCTGCTTAGGGTCTTTTGTCAAATATATTTAACATGAATTGTAACATAGTAATTTAGTCCTGTTTTACTTGCTATCTTTATCAATCTTCCTTTACTAACGAGGCCACTTTATTAATTTAATTTGTGTCAGACTATCTTGTAGTGTAAACATGTTTACAGGTCACCACTAATGCAGCGGAAAACTGTACTTTGTGGTAGAGATGTAAAACTTTCCAATATGCATGCCTGCATGTAGGTGTAGTGTTAAATAACTTGGAAGGATTTTACTTGTACTTCTGTAGTGTTAGATCTTTTATAAAGTAATGCTCTTACTGGCATCGGTTGAAGACTTAGCAAAATCTGAATGATGCTAGTAGAGTTGCTAGTGTCTGCAACTCTACTTTTTATAGAAACTTCAGATAGTGGAGCAGCATTTACAAGTTGAATGTTTCCAGATATTGTTATAATTAAAATCCATGTTTGTTTAAATATTAATGTGAGTATCCTGCTCAAACAAATTAAATGTTCTTTTTATTACAAATAAAATAAAAAAATCACCCTAATTTCCAAACAGGGATGTCCGGTGCAAAGGGTAAACCTCCACCTCTTCTAGCAGCACCTGCTAAAAGACCTGGTCTTCTAGGATATTCACCCCATCAGCCTGCAAAACGACCACTACTTGGAGAGAAACCTGGACTTTTGCCAACACCAGGTGAGGATGGGAAAGCTTTGTAGATTCTTAGAACCTGTAATATTTTGAGACCAGCTACTTTGCTGTCTTTCTGAATATCAATTTAATATTATTTACTGTAGTATATGCAACTCTTGTAGCTAAAAACGTTCTGATGCTAGCCAGCCAGATTTCTCTCCTAACTAAAAAGTTTTGAAATTTCCAATGAAAAAAAATGCAATAATCTTTCTTAAAAAAGACTAATATGCTAACGAGGGATATGTTTGCTTTATGTATAATGATTGCAATTAGTGTGAAAGCAACATAGAATCAGAAAACCCTTGTACTAATTATACTATCTCCAAGGAACCAAGATGTTTTAATACAAAAATGTTTCTATTTGTTTATGTACTATACTCTATGCAAAATGCTAAGTGGAGCACAGGATCAGGTCCAAGGGTGAATATAGCTAACCGCTTGATAATAGTGACCATAACATAAAAAATGTTAACATCTGAGGGATTGTAGCGTGGTGGTTACCCGCTCCAGCCCTGATAGGGTTAAGGCCAGCCCTGGGAGAGGGCTGGGGCTGTAAGGAAAAGCCCAGGCTGCTTAGGAAGGCAGCCTCAGCTGTGGCCATGCCCCAAACAGACTCAGCTGGCCCTATAAAAGACAGGGAAGCCAGTCTCCTCTAGCTGTAGAAGGAGACGGGCCTGGCTGCTGGGGAGCTAGAGAAGGTATCTGGAGTGAGTCCCACATCGCTACAGGGATGAGCGGGGGAAGACTGCAGCAGCCCACCACGGTTGGATTTCATTTCAGAAAGGGGAGCTACACAAAAATGAAGAAGTTAACAGAAATTAAAAGGTACTGTGCCAAAAGTGAAAACTGAGCAAGCTGCATGGAAACTTTTCAAAGACACCCTACTAGAGGCTCAATTTAAATGTATACCCCAAATTAAGAAAAGATAGTAAGAAAACCAAAAAAATGCCACCGTGGCTAAACAACAAAGCAACAAAAGCAGTTAGAGGCAAAAAGGCATCCTTTAAAAAGTAGAAGTTAAATCATACTGAGGAAAATAGAAAGGAGCATAAACTCTGGCAAGTGAAGTGTGAAAAATATAATTAGAAAGGCCAAAAAAGAATTTGAAGAACAGCTGGCCAGAGACTCAAAAGTAACAGCTAGTGTGGCCATTGGACAATCGAGATGCTAAAGGAGCACTCAAGGAAGATAAGACCATTGCCGAGAAACTAAATGAATTCTTTGCATCGGTCTTCTTTGCTGAGGATGTGAGGGAGATTCCCACACCTGAGCTATTCTTTTTAAGTGGGAATTGTCCCAGACTGAGGTGTCATCAGAGGAGGTTTTGGAACAAATTGATAAATTACCATCTGGTCGTAGTGACTTATTGTTTGTTCACCCAAGAGTTCTGAAAGAACTCGGTAGTTCTGCAATTTCACTTTTAACTATGGTATGTAGCCTATCATTTAAATCAGCTTCTGTACTAGATGACTGGAGGATAGCTAATGTGATGCCAATTTTTAAAAAAAGTCTCCAGAGGCAATCCTGGCAATTACAGGCCGGTAAGCCTAACTTCAGTACTGAGCAAATCGGTTGAAACTATAGTAAAGAACAGAATTATTAGATACATAGATGAACACCATTCGTTGGGCAGAGGTAACATCGTTTTTGTAAAGGGAAATCATGCCTCAGCAATATACTAGAATTCTTTGAGGGGTGTCAACAAGCGTGTGGACAAGGTCCCTCCCAAAGGCTCTTAAACAAAGTAAGCTGTCCTGGGATAAGAGGGAAGGTCCTCTCATGGATTCATAACTGGCTAAAAGATAGGAAACAAAGGGTAGGAATAAATGGTCAGCTCTCAGAATGGAGAGAGGTAAATAGCGGTTTCCCTCGGGGTCTGTACTGGGACCAGTATTGTTCAACATATTCATAAATAATCTGGAAAAGGGAGTGAACAGTGAGGTGGCAAAATTTGCAGATGATAGAAAACTACTCAAAATAGTTAAGTCCAAAGCAGACTGCACAGAGTTAAAAAGGGATCTCACAAAACAGAGTGACTGGGCAACAAAATGGTAGATGAAATTCAGTGTTGATAAATGCAAAGTAATCCACATTGGAAAACAATCCTAACTATACATTAGGGCTGTTGATTAATCGCAGTTAATTCACGTGATTAACTCAAAAAAATTAATTGTGATTAAAAAAATTAATTGCGAGTAATTGCACTGTTAAATAATAGAATACCAATTGAAATTTATTAAATATTTTCGCATGTTTTTCTACATTTTCAAATACACCTCTACCCCGATATAACGTGATCGGATATAACGTGGTAAAGCAGTGCTCCCGGGGGGCGGGGCTGTGCACTCCAATATAACGCGGTTTCACCTATAACACGGTAAGATTTTTTGGCTCCCGAGGACAGCGTTATATCAGGGTAGAGGTATATATTGATTTCTATTACAACACAGAATACAAAGTGTACAGTGCTCACTTTATATTATTGATTACAAATATTTGCACTGTAAAAATGATAAAAGAAACAGTATTTTTCAATTCACCTCATACAAGTACTGTAGTGCAGTCTCTTTATTGTGAAAGTGTAACTTACAAATGTAGATTTGTTGTTACATAACTGCACTCCAATAACAAAACCATGTAAAACTTTAGAGCCTACAAGTCTACTCAGTCCTACTTCTTGTTCAGCCAATCACTAAGACAAACAAGTTTGGTTACATTTACTGGAGATAATGCTGCCTGCTTCTTATTTACAGTGTCACCTGAAAGTGAGAACAGGCGTTTGCATGGCACTTTTGTAGCCAGTGTTGAGAGGTATTTACGTGCCAGATATAATAAACATTTGTACGCTCCTTCATGCTTCAGCCACCATTCCAGAGGACATGCTGAAGATGCTTGTTTAAAAAAAAAAGTGTTAATTAAATTTGTGACTGAACTCTTTTGGGGAGAATTATTTTACCCAGTTTCTGCCATATATTTCATGTTATAGCAGTCTCGGATGATGACCCAGCACATGTTCGTTTTAAGAACACTTTTACATCAGATTTGACAAAACACAAAGAAGGTACCAATGTGAGATTTTTAAAAATAGCTACAGCACTCGACCCAAGGTTTAAGAATCTGAAGTGCCTTCCAAAATCTGAGAGGGACGAGGTGTGGAGCATGCTTTCAGAAGTCTTAAAAGAGAAACACTCAGATGCGGAAACTACAGAACCCGAATAACCAAAAAAGAGATGCCAACAGCAGAAGGCTGATTTTTGACTCAGATGATGAAAATGAACATGCGTCGGTCCGCTCTGCTTTGGATCGTTATCGAGCAGAATCCGTCATCAGCATGGACGCATGTTCTCTGGAATGGTGGTTGAAGCATGAATGGACATATGACTCTTTAGCACATCTGGCACGTAAATATCTTGCGACGCTGGCAACAACAGTGCCACATGAAGGCCTGTTCTCACTTTCAGGTGACATTGTAAACAAGAAGCGGGTAGCATTATCTCCTGCAAATTGTAACCAAACTTGTTTGTCTGAGCGATTGGCTGAAGTAAGGATGAGTGGACTTGTAGGCTCTAAAGTTTTACATTATTTGTTTTAGTTTTGAATGCAGTTTTTTTTTTTGTACATAATTCTACATTTCTAAGTTCAACTTTCATGATAGAGATTGCACTACAATACTTTTATTAGGTGAATTGAAAAATACTGTTTCTTTTGTTTTTTACAATGCAAATATTTGTAATCAAAAATAAATATAAAGTGAGCACTGTACACTTTGTATTCTGTGTTGTAACTGAAATCAGTATATTTGAAAACTTAGAAAACATCCAAAAATATTTAAATAAATGCTACTGTGTTGGGCTGCTGTGGTGTTTTCCCGACTACAGGGATATTAATTTTTTTTATGTTATGGTCACTAATACCAAGTGGTTCAGCTATATTCAACTCTTTTACTAGGTTCTGTGCTCCACTTAGGACTAAATCAAGAATTGCCTCTTCTCTTGTGGGTTCCAGGACTAGCTGCTTCAAGAAGCAGTCATTTAAGGTGTCAAACTTTCTCTGCATCTCATCCTGAGGTGACATGTACCCAGTCAATACGAGGATAGTTGAAATCCCCCATTATTATTGAGTTTTTTATTTTTATAGCCTCTCTAATCTCCCTGAGCATTTCAGTCACTATCACCATCCTGGTCATGTGGTCAGCAGTATATCCCTACTGCTATATTCTTATTATTCAAGCATATGTTGGAGCCTTTTCATTGAGGGGTGGTTTTGTTCCTAGATAGGAACTGCAATAATGAAGCATTTTTGTTTTGATTGATCACTGTGGTCATACCTATGGTCAAAAAGTTGGGGGTGCAATCTCTTCTGTGGAAGAAGTCGTCTTTGGCTGCTATTTGGGCTTTCAGTGGCATGGAATCTGAGACGACTCCAGGGCTGTGAGCAATTGCTCTTAAATCGGAAGGCAGATTTAAATCTGAAGGCAGTAGCAGGAAAGTTATAGAAGAATCAAGTTCTTTACAGTAGCTGCAGAGATGGGCATTACAGAACTCTCTAAAGTGGAGGTAGCTGTTAACCTTTTGCCAGTGCAAGAGGGTGAGGAGTCCTCAGTGATTGTGGTACCTCTAGCTAGTTATGGGGGAGGGAAGGGGCAGGGCATTTATATGTAAAACAGCCTCACTATTTATTTTTATCTTTGTCATAGCTGTTCATGTTAAACCTGTGCAACACCAACGGGCAGCTAAACCAAAGCCTTTGCTTAACTGAGACGACATCACAGACACCATGACTAATAATGGAATACATTAAACCTAATGGTGGCATCCCTCTTCCAAGCCAGCAGAGAGCATGATAAACTTGTATTGCTAGTGTCCGTACACCCAGACAAACTTCAATGTATCTCATTTTCTGTAATACACATTCCGATGGGAACTTTTTAAAATTTCAGGGTGCTCTTCTGTTCAAACAAAATTGGTATTTGTGGAAGGTCAGTGTTGTAGATTCATGGTCTTATAAATTAGGAATTGTTTAAATAGGTATGGTCACAAAATAAACTATTTGTTTTACACAACTCATCACTGATTCTTTTGTGGTTAAGTTTTACCTGACTCTTCCATATGATTATTTTAGAAAGATAAGCAGACCCAGTCAGACTTCATTTCAGGGCTTGTTCTGGGCAGGGATGGATAGAATTTCTTTTTCTTTCTTGTTCTTTCTTTCTAAATGTGAAAAATCTATGGGTTGGGATTTTGTGTTTTTTATATAATACAAAAGTGTTGCCTCTACTTTCCTTGCATCTTCCTTGAGTAAAGATAAAGACACGTTGACCATATCTCAACCCTTATTCAGTTTGTCACTTGCTTAGGACTTCTAATATTTTTTAAATATTTTAAAATGAGATCTTGTGTTTATTACTATATTATGCCATGATAGCTTATGTCTTCAATGTGTTGGAATGTTAATCTTTCCATTTCTATTGTAACTTGAAGTTTAATGGCAGGATATGAAAGGATTAAGGAAAATGCTGTACTAATTGTACTCTCCCAGATGCAATTAAGTAAATTAATGTTGAGAACTACCTTAATTTCCATGTAGTTCCACACCAGTAATGTACCAGATTTAACTTGTTAATTTAAAGCTATACAGTTACATTTTGTAAAATGTTTAAAAAAGTATTGTGTACAGTCATTCCATTGAAACATGAAGTATAGTTCCAACTAACATGTAATTTTTTAGTTATCACAAAAAATAACTAACTTGCCAAAAATAGTTTAGCACCCAGTACCCACTTATAGTGTCAAAGTTCAAAATTACAATACTAGCCCCTTAAATATTATTTTTTTATTGTGGGTTTCCCTTTCCTCTCACCTTTATGAATGACCCACACAAACAAAAAGGGAAAATGGCAATACAGCTAAAAGAATCAGCTAGCTCAGTAACTAAACTTCAGACAAACACAAGTTAAAAGAACTGAAAAAACATCTTTAACATTTCAGTTATACTAATCAAGGTATCACTTGTGATAACAATAGGTAAAATGCTTTTTCAGACAAAAACATGACTTTTTGTAAGTTGGTGTACCTTCCTAAGAATAGGAATTAACCTGGAGAGTTCTTACTTTCATATAATTTTGTCAGTTGTATATGTTATAATTTTTCTTAATCATTTTATGGATGCAGGATTTTCAAGTCTTAACACATCCAGCTAAAGCAGCACTGACTAACGTGGAATCTATTTTTGTTGGTGTTTCACTGTCATATTTATAGCCACTCTTGAGTACTTTCACTGTAGATTCTTTAGTAGAGCATTTGATCAATTAGAAGCTTACAAAACTAACTTCCAGTGCAATTTTCTTCTCCTAGTAGAAAGAATTTAGTTGGCCAGCTGTGTCAAAATTCACTTGTTTCAACAAATGCGTTTATTTAACTTTTAGCTAAGGACCCATCTATAAGTCTCAGTTCAGCAGAGGTGCTACAAAGTACAGTCCCCAACACAAACACTAGGAAAATAGTGAGAAGGGGTGGTTGGATGGGGCAGGGGGCCTGAGGGGGCTGTCAGGAAGGAGGGGGGTGGATGGGGTGGCCGGGGGTCCGTCAGGGGACAGAACGGGGGGGTTGGATGAGGCAGGAGTCTCGGGGCGAGAAGCAGGAGGGTCGGATGGGGGCGGGGGCGGGGCCATGCCTGGCAGTTTGGGGAGGCACAGCCTTCCCTAACCAGCCCTCCATACAATTTCAGAAACCCAATGCGGCCCTCAGGCCAAAAAGTTTGCCTGCCCCTGATCTAGTGACTATAATATTCAATCATATTTAAAATAATAAAAAAAAGTCAGGTGAGACCCGGCTCAGTCACTGGCGGGACTTTCCACTGCCCCCTCGGCCGGACAAAGACACCACCCCAGGGATACATTCTTATACACAGGTACAAACAAGTTACACATCACTCCTGACATATTGAGGTGCAACCCCTCTACGTGGCAAGGTACAACCCCTCTATGTAGTAAGGTGCCGCCTCTCACCTTGTACATGTTGGTTCGATCAAAACAACTCTATCCATTATTTTACCCTTTTGCCCCTGTCATTGGCATGGGTCGGCCTGTTCCATGTTATCTGTGGAATGTTCCAGTATAGTGTGTTCTGTACTTTAACTTTGCTAGGTGAATATATATTTATGCAACATCAGCCCTTTTCCTGCCAGCTTCTGTGAGCAAGGCCAGCCTCTGGCTCACAGCTTAACTTTGCTTTATGTTAGCAAAGTCTTGACCATTACTTTAGTTCAGGCCTTAGGCCTCATACCAGGCCTCTGATACCAAGGTTTATATCTCAGGGCCTCCTCTTACTACACTGGTTAGCTTTTCTGCCAGTAGGTCTTGTGTTTTTTCACTAGTTTTCCGATGGATATCTGTCTGTTTCTGAACTCAGTGTTGTATGTTTAGGAACTGGAGTAAAACAGAAGTCTTGTTGATGAAGCCAAGTCTCCTGTTCAGCACTGATCCTGTTCTGGCAACTAACACTAAATCGGGGGGGGAATGAATTGCTTTATTCACTTGACCTCCCCTTTTGAAAAGGGAAGATACTGGTGACTTAATGACCAACCTTTCTTAGTTTTAAAAAAAATAGGTCACTCTGGGATAGGGTGACCAGATCAGAAAAATTGAGACAGGGTGATGGGTAATAGTTGCCTGTACAAGATAAAGCCCCTAATATTGGGACATCGGTTCACCTTACTCTGGGTCATCTGATTCATTTTCCCTTTTGCAAATAGCTTAATACAGCAGTGTCTGACACCAGACCCACATCAGTCTAATGCTTTCAATAGCAACATCAGCCTGAAGACATTGTGGAGAGAAAGGCAAGAACCATGGCCCCTTCCCCAAAATAAATGGGAAAGAGAAGCTGCCTCTGAGCTCTTTGAAAGATAGTAGGGGCTGTTGTGGACACTTCAGTTTAAAGGGCTGACACAAAGAGAGCAGAACCCCGCCCTCCTCTCTTCCAGCTCTTCACTCTGAATCGGGCTGTCTGGGGTTCCCTTGCACTAGCAGATCAAAGGGCTACCAGGGGTCTAGAGAAAACCCTGTAGTTGCTACAATCTCAGCAGGGTGAGTGTGACAAAGCAGATCATTTCCTTCCCTCAGCTGTCCATTTATTTTAATGAGGATAAAAAAGACCCATAGTGTTTGCCCCCCAGCTGAAGAGAGCTGGGAGCAGTTGCTATTTACACACACATCCAAGCAGCCTTCTGTTGTTGGGAGCAGGCAGCTGGTGCTGTGGTACCTAACATACCTAATCTGGAAAAGGGGAAATTGGGTATAAGCCCTCAATTGAGCTAAATTAATTGTTTAATAAGTGAAACTGACCATGGCTGATCATTTACCAATTCACTAAACCCCATTCTTTACAAAGTATTTTACTCCTGTATAGCTGCTCATTCACTAGAGCTAGGGGTGAGAATGCTGGATGATTGTCACGCAGAATTTTTAACTAAATTCCTTCTGCCCCCATATCCTCTCGAAGAGAAGGAAGGATTTAGGCCTGAAATTTTTTTATTATGGGTTATGATACGTAAGCAAAACTAAATAGTTGGTCTTTCAGATTCCCGGCTGAGTTTGCAGGACTAGCAGCTAAAACATCTTTTCTTGTAAACTCACTCAGAAAACAGAGCTGGAATTAGCTGAGACAAAGCATAGAACCCCACAATGCCAGTTTTTACAAAATTACTTTTCAGCATAACAGTTTAAGGAATGTTTGCTAGAAGTGGGTGGCCTGCATTATCCAAAGGCTGCAGTGGAGAGAATGCAATACCTTGGACCAGTTCTGAAGGATTCTATTTGAATTCCCAGACCAAGAAAATTTAAGAGGGAGCTAAAGTTGAGAGTTAATATCAATAAAGTAAGGGTATAAACATAACAGAGATGTTCGAATGATTGCCAAAGCCAAGTGGTACAAATGCAGGAAGTTCAGAGTTAAGGTTAAACCTAAATTCCAATCTGTTATGCTGAGAAAATATACCATTTAGGCACTCAAACAACCCTCACTCTGCCCATAGTGAGGCTGTGCAATAACACATTTAGGATTAATGCATGTTAGCGTTTGCAGCCCCAGAATAGATTAAAGTGATATTTAGAGCATTGTTTTTCATCGTTTTCTATATGTAGTGTCACTACAGGTCAGTGTTCTTAGTCTAGGAAAGGCTAGAGGCAGACTGGTCAGAAGGGACATTTGGTGAATGAGGGCACGGGTGTGGGTTATGGCTGAAGAAGAGGAGGGAAGAGTGTTCTGTAAGTGGGTCAGGGTGGCTGAGAAGGGATATAGGGGAGTTCAGTGGCATTAATGAGAGTGGTTGGCCAGAGATAGAGCTAGGCTTGGGGCAGGGGAAAAGGGCTGTGTGCGGGGATGGCCTGTGTAGGCGGGGGGCCCACTGGGCTGTGCACCAGTCTGGGATGGGGAGCTCAGCTCTACTGCGCAGTGAGGCAGCACTGCAAAGGGGACCCTTAAGGTTCAGAGACATTAGCATTTAGGTACTAGTCTCATTCCCCTCTGCAGAACAGCAGTCTCTGTGAGATAACTTTAGTAGAGGGGAAGAAACACAAACTAGCTTTTAACACATTTCCATAGCTTCAGCAGTTTTGTAATGGCAGCTAACACCTTGAGCCATAATGCTGTATTTGTACAGGGGGAACTGCATACTTTGGTAAAATGGCTATTTTATGATACGTGTCTATGATCAGAATAACCCATGAATTAGCACAGCTTGTTTCAGTTAGAGGTTAGTTTAGATCTGAGCTGGTTGTTTAAATGTAATTGGAAGAAGATGAGGGAAATGACTTTGTGCCCATTTGCTGGTTCCTTGTAGTGCAGAAAGGAGAGCTGGGCCTTATTTTAAGAACAAAAATTGCAATGCTTTTGTTACATTAGGGGGAAAAACCTCCAAGACGCGCACACAAACATATAGGGCAACTGTGTGGCTCAAGAAGAAAAGGGTAAGTTTCCTTTTTTCTTTGCAAGTTATTTTAAAAGCAAAGCATGCAGGCCAGGAACTTGGCTACCTTCATTCAGCTTGTCATGGCAGTAAAGTCAGTCTGCACCCATGAAACTTTCACAAATGTATGCTGAAAAATACAAATGAAGCTTAATATTTTAATTGTAGTACTTGTTATGAGAAGGTGAATGTTTACTTTTATTTATTAATGCATGTTGAAATTTTGGTAAATAAGCATTTTAATGTTTTTAGCATACATTTTAAAAAAATATTTTACTAATTCTATCATTCTTCCCCAAACATTTTTATGGAAATTATTTGTGGTAGTCCATCAGCTTATGGGTCAGTTATACAAAATACTTTTTACTTTGACATAGTTAAAAAAGCTTGTAATAATTAAACTTGAGTTCTTTTAAAGATGGGAAAACTGCATGGATATCCAGCAAGAGATATTTCCACTTGTTACACACACTTAATTATGTTGTATGGGACTTGATTTTCCTTGATTTTTCCTGTAGACTAAGTTAAATGGGGTGAACACAAAGTCCTTTTGCTTTCTTTTGTGTTCATTTGTGTACTGTAAACTTTCTGATGTTTGTAAAAGTAAATATTTTATTGCATATTTTTCTCTTAGTACTTTATTTTTCCAACTTATTTTACTACTTACTATTAATGAACTATAACATTGCTACATATTGAAGGGATGTGTTTCTGGGGAGAAGGATTTCCATTCTCAGGTCTGTCATGAATGAAATGGTGTAAATTGTTGGCTTAACAGTATTTAAACTGCTTTGATATCTTGTGGGTTTCTTAATATCACTTCAGTGAGAACTAGTTATTCAGACATGTTCGCTTTCATATTCTGTATACACTGTAATTACAATTCCTTATTTCACTGGTAGATCTTAGACTGAATAGCAGCTTCTGAAATTAATAAAAGGGGGACATCAACTTGCCATCTGTATTGCTATAGCACTGTGTGTAATATATCATATAAAAACTGTATGTTAAAAGAATATTATTAAAGTTGCAAAGTCAAGCACTAAAAGTTAAGAAATACAAGAATTAATATTGCTTGTGCAACCTTAATGGAGCCCTTGCATGAGTATGCATCATGATAAAGTCTTTAATTACATGATCAGAGACTATATTTTTCAACAGGACCCCTGCCTCATTCAGTCCACAGGGTAGACATGAGCATCTATTCAATGTTTTGTTTTCCTCTTGTTGGT